GTTCTGTCAGTTTGGTGTCCGTCCTCATTTTCCCAGGGGTTTATGGGTAATTGCTTCTTCTGCCAAATTGGGGTTTGGTTGGCCCACTAAGCAAAGTCTTTGGGGTGCCAAACTCACAGGTCCTGGTCAGCACGACCCTCTGACCGCACTCTGTGAGTTTGGTGTCCCTCGTCCATTTACGCTATGAATTATGGGTACCTGAAGTTTGAGAAAAACTGGGTTTCTGGTTCGCCCACTAGGCGGAGTCGTAGAGTCACGAAACTCGCAGGGTGTCGTCGGCTTGAGGCTACGACCTAGCACGTAAAGTTTTGCGTCCCTGCGCCTTTCGCCCTAGGTTTTCTGGGTAATTGTATTTTGGACGAAACTGGGGCGATCCCCCCTTCGTTTAACGCCCTAAACGGGGTCCGATCTGAGCGGGGTCGACGCCTACGCGTCCGTCGGAGGCCCGGCAACAACATATACGAAAACGGCGAGTCTGGACCCAGTAGAAAAAAAATGTCTCTAAGAGGCCCAAATTTTCCATCAAAGTGATCTGTGGGTCTTAGACACTTAGACCCTCTTTTGGCTGACTTTTCAGAACGAATTTTTTTCTAAAACCGCTGGGGCCAATATGACACTGGACTCTTATTCGGGGTCCTCCCAGCACCCCACGCTTCTATTTTGGGGTCTCTACACCCAACGACCAGGGACTTGTGGGTAATTTTCCCCTGGTCCGACGAGGTGCTCGTTAACCCTCTAAACGAGGTCGTTCGTGCACCAAACTCACAGGCCCTGTTCTCCACCACCCCCTGACTGCGTTCTGTGAGTTTTGTGTCCCTCCTGAATTTTTTTCAGGACTTATGGGTAATCATCACGATTGGCTTCAGATGGCTTTTTAAGCGCCTAAACGTGCACTGACGTGCACTAGTTCAAAGCATGTTGTTTGTGGGCTCGAGACGAATCCGTCGGCGTTGACCTCGTCCTTCTACGTGCCTCGGAAGCCGAGATCTGACCTTAACGAGCTCGTCCTTTGATCCTGTTGGGGGCCGCTCATACGTGCGCAGCGAGTGTGTGTGTTAAACCTAAGGGTCAGTGTGTAAAACACTCTTTTGCGTTGCGTAGGAAGCACGCACGCAGACAAGGGAGGTCACGTTGGATTTGGACAAGCCAGGTCTTTACAACTGTACCGAGTTCCCCCTGATCTGGGCTTCTGACGCGAAGCTGCGAGCGGAAACGCACACGTCCATCCGTCCGTCCGAGCGGTCAAATATTATAAAAATTCATAACTTCCTTTAGGAATAAGCCAACCACTTCAAACTTGGTACAAATGTAAAGCAGGTACCCAGGAAGAGCTGTGCAAAATTTCGTGCTCGTACGTGCACGCGAGCGCGCGTGAAATGGCCCGTAAATGTAAGCACTTCGGTGCGTTTTGCGGGTCTCAACAAGCACACACAGAGATGAGACAGGTGTCTCTGAATTGCCCTTGAGCAGACCTTTCCAATGGTGTCTAGCTCATCTTTGTACGACCTTCCTACGCGAAGCTGTTACACAAAACGTACTCGTCTTTTCTCTAAGAAAATGCCTCATGCAAATACTCGAAGCCTAAGTATAAAAAAACTTCATAACTTCCTTCAGGAATAAGCCAACCCCTTCAAACTTGGTACAGATGTAAAGCAAGTACCCAGGAAGAGCTGTGCAAAATTTCGTGCTCGTACGTGCGCGCGTGCGCGCGTGAAATGGCCCGTGATCCAATACACTTTGGGGCAAATTGCGGATCTCAGAAAGCACGTACAGAGATGAGACAGGACTCTCTGAATTGCCCTTGAGCAGACCTTTCCAACGATGTCTGGCTCCTCTTTGTACGAGCTTTCCACGCGAAGCTGTAGGGCAAAATGCACTCGTCATCCTGGAAGTGCGGCCTCAGAGGCCTAAATATATAATTACTTATAACTTCCTTCAGAAACAAGCCAACTACTTCAAATTTTCAGGGTGTCATCAGCTGAGGACCTCTCTCTAACCCTGAAAATCTTGTGTCCCTAGCTTTTTTCTTCTGTGAATTATGGGCCATCCAGCAAAGGCCTGACCTTTTGACCTTTTGACTTTGGAGGGCCTGTTGACCCCCTTAGGAACCTCGCAAAGGGCTCAAACTCACAGGTCCTGATCACCACATCACCCTGACCGTGTTCTGTCAGTTTGGTGTCCGT